AAATTCAGGGACACACTAAGTCATGTTCATGGCCATGTGCTGCTTGCTGATCTGATCATCCAACTGCAGTTGTGACCACTGGTCAGCACCTTGTATTATGTGCTGAGAGCCACTGGATTTCCTTGGGGAGGATCTCTGTCTTCAAACTAAGGGGGCTGCATGCACTTTCCACCATAGCTCACTCTCCTCCTATCCTAGGTGTGAATGGCACTAACTTCCATGCTCCATCATTGTCATATAGCAGGTAACAAGCCCATATGGTAGTGGCTGCTTTACTGTGCTGATGTGACTTTACACCCCTTTCAAGGACAGTTAAACTCCAGACCCCCAGATAAGGTGAAGGTGGAGGGAGTGTATCCTATCATTGTCTTCTATGTATCTTGATCACATAGCTTTTCTGAATGCAGGGATGGTAGACAAACCTCCCCACCCCACCTCAAATGGGTGAGATGCCACTTTTGAGACCACCAGTGTCTTACTTGCAGCTTTCTTTTTTGACAAGAAACAGAAGCCCATTCAAAGTAGCCTGAAAATGCATATTTATTTACATAGCAAAGGAGTGAGTCTCAGCACTAGAGGGAGAGGCAGGGGATGATGTCAGTCCTTTGAGGGACTGGCATCTTGAACCACTTAGTGACCCAGCAACAATGTGGTCCCCAACCCATTCGGAAACCTCCCTTCCCCATGTTGGCTCCTCCACTCTGCCTGTTCACTCTGACATTCTTCTTGCTCCAAAGCCTGGCTTTTGTTTCTCTCTGTGGGCACATGGCACAGAACAGTGACCCCACAATTACTGAGTTCTCAGTTCTAGGAACTTAACAGTGCCTTTCAAATTCCTGGGAGAAATTAAACTTAGATCTGATGAGGTTTCATCCCTGCTCAACAAAGCCCTGATGGAGCCAGGATCATGTACCACAGACATGATCTCTGGAATGACTAGACAGAGGGAGGGATACCTCTTAGAGAAGCTGCATAGTTACCCAAGTGTGTCTGAAGCTAGCAATGAGGTGAGCAAGCCTACCTTTTCTCTCTCCTTCCTTCCATTCTTCCTCTCTTCTCTCCCCTCTCCCTCCCTCCCTTCCACCTTTCCTTCTTTGGGAAAATATTTATCAGATGCTCCTCATGTCCACAGCAATGGGGTCAGAGCTACAGTTAAAGTGGTGAGTAGACAGATACAGCCTCTGCCCTCACAGAACTAACATACTAGTGAAACAGGCGGACTTTAATCAAATCATTTGTAACTGACTAAAATGATAGCAGTGGCATGTGCTCTGAGGGAAAGATAATGGGCTCTTGAGACTGGTAGTAGGGGTTTTCATCAGGAAGTAAGGATGAATGTGAGTTAATTGAGTGTTAAGACCATCCCAGGTCAGAGATACAGTCTGTACATCTTCCCTTTGGCTGGTGGGCAGTATAGGGTGGTCCAGAAATGGAAGGTCCCTGGGGCTTGAGGAAGGGGATGTCTGCTCATTAATAAATAAATAAGGCTGGAGCTGTGACCAGGAGCACAGCATGCAGGATGTCAGGCTGTCACAGTGCAAGGGCTTCATCCTGCACAGAATGGGAAGCCACCAATATAAGGGTTAAACAACCAAGTAACATGGGTGCATTCATATTCTGTGAAGACTACTCTGCCTGCTCCACGGAGGGATGAGAGGTGCAGCCTGGAGAGAGGAAGGGATCTTAACAGCCAGTTTCAGGGACATCTGTGAGGGGAAGCCACTGATGGCAGAGTTCATGGAAGTAGCCAGCCCTATTTACAGTTCAAGTTACCAACTTAAATGACACACTGCCTGCCCAGGGTCATCAACTTCAGTGTGTTGGAAGTAAATTGGTGGGCTATTTTGTGCATCCATTTGGATGGAGTGCAGAGGTGACTGCAAGTAACACAGGATGGGAGGGTTTCCCTCCATTCTGCTGGGCTTTGTTCCAAGGTCCTGTCACATTTCCTTCACTTGTAGCTCTTTAGCTCCAGCACAGTCTCAGGTAAAAATTACTTACAGTTCCACCAGGGCCCAAAATTCTCCCTGGTTGCAAACTATTGTTTAGATAGTTTGCAAGAGTAATTGCAAACTCAGGACAATCTTAGTGTTTTTGTTGAAACTATATCACTCCTCTAGAACTCTAGAGAGCATCTTTGAGTTTTTTTTCCTTGCTGTCTGGTGCCATTGCTAATGACCGTTTCTATTCTCACCTTGTAACAATGGTTCTCAGTCTTTGTTTTTATAAAACAATCTACCTGGAGGATTTGACAGATTCTTATTAATGTAAACAGGGGGTTATAAAATTCATTGCAACTGCAGGTTGGATTAAACATAGATATAAAGGTGTGGGCATAAAGCTGACATGGACATGAAATTAATGTTATTATCTGGATGCTAAGTATGAGAGCGCTAGAAAAGGCCATGGTGTCAGAGAAACTCTCTTTCTAGAATGAAGTTCTGCGCCCTTCCTTGCACTGTAACACTGTGTGTCAATGAGGAATGCTTCTTATGCCACCCAGTGTAGTGAGCAACTGCTAAGTGGCTGGGCACTGTGCCAGAGGATAAGGCTACTGAGTTGAATAAAACATTGTCCTTGCCCTCTAACAGTTCACAGCCTGAGCAGGCTAAGTCTACAATGGGTTAGAGAGAGGATATGATTCTTTTTTAAAAAAAATTTATTTATTTATTTTTAGAGAGAGGGAAAGAGAGGAAGAAAGGGAGGGAGAGAAACACTGATGTGTGCAAGAGAAACATAGATCACTTGCCTTTCACATGCCCCAACCAGGGACCTGGCCCAAAACACAGGCATGTGCCCTGACTGGGAGTCGAGCCGGTGACCTTTCAGTTTATGAGATAACATGCAACCCACTGAGCCACACTAGTCAGGATGAGAGAGCATATGATTCTTGTTAGGTTGTATGAAAGGCCACAGGCCTCTGAACAAAACTCTGTCTGCAGATGTAAAAAGGTCAATGAAAACTGTAGAAATATGTTCACAGTGGGGTGGACCTTGAAGAATGATTTCTGATTGGCCCAAATCAAGGGCAGTGCAGAAAGAAAGATGTGACCAAAGGAGCAGAGGTGTAACAGTCCTGTATCTTTTAAGTAGTTCTATTTAGGTAGATCTTGGAGTATGAGAGTTAGTGGGTGGAGGAAATGACTAGGGAGGAATAGCAACAGGGTTGAACCTGAAGGTTGAACCTGACCCTAGGATCTATCATTATTATTAATAAATAAGAAGATGCATGTAGATTTTGATACAAAGCCTGGGATATACTATGGGTTCAATAGAACTATTATTTACTGATATTATATTTCAGTGATGATGATGATGATTAGGATGGCACAGATAATTCTCCAGCTGAAGCATGCTAAGAATTTATGGAAGATAAACATATAGCTTGACTATTCACTTCCTAACTGTCTTAACTCTTCTTCCCAAATCATGTTCTTCCACTTTGTCTGATTGCATTCTTCTCATTGTTTCAATCTCAGCTTTATTGCCACTTCCTTGGCAAAGCCTATACCAACATCCCTGACCAAGCTCTGTCTTCCCTACTCGACTGTAGGCACCAAGAGAACAGTGCCTGGCATTGAAAAAAGGTCTTAAGAAATAATAAACTTCTAAACAGCATTGACTCTGTGATAGGCACAATGCAAAGTGCTTCACATATATTAACTCTTAATACTTAACCTCAATTCATTGAGGTAGATATTATGTTTATTTTCATTTTACAGAGGATGAAGCTGAGACAAGCAAGGTTAAATGACTTGTCCATAGTCACAAAGCTAGTAGAGCCATGAATGAGTGGGATGAATGGATGGAAGGAAGGAAGGAAGGAAGGAAGGAAGGAAGGAAGGAAGGAAGGAAGGAAAAGGATTGCTATTTGCATCTTATTGACTTTATAGTGGCCTCTGCAGACCCTGGTTTCTCTTTCTAATATTTTAGAACTCCTTGATGTTCTCAGATATTCTATTTTATTAAATAATGAGTTCACCTTATTTGAAGTATAGAAAAAGAAAAGGCCCATCATATTAAGAAAGAGAAACATTTTCTAAACAGATATCTGCAAATAATGTTAATAATTAGAGTCTGAAATTTTTGCATTACATTGAGTTGTGGTATAAGTTGTATCACTACTTCTTAGGAGTAACTGAAAGAGCACTTGATCAAGATCCCAGAATGCTGCCAACCAGGGAGGAAGCAGATCAACTCTCTTGGGTACAGAATGCTATCTATGTCTTTCAGATCTATTAGTAAATCTTGATTTTTTCTGGTGAAGATGAACTTTCCCCCAATTCACTGAATTATATGAGATTATAGTGGCCATTTGCAGTTCAAGTGATATTGGTTAATTTAAATATTAATGAAAGTCAATCTTACTCCTTCTGATTGGGTGATGATAGCCATGTTTATGAAATTTATTATTGATGGGGCATTTATATCACATTTTCATTCATTGTAAATGGAGTCACTTTGAACTTTAACTATCATGGGATGGAATATTACAGAATCTTGGAGTTCTAGAGTTAAAACAGGATTTAGAGTTGATTTCCTCCCACCTAACTCTATGCAGGAAAATCCACAATACTATTTCTGAAAGTTGACCTCCAGCTTTTCCTCAAACACATCTTATGACAAAGAGCTCACTGTGTAAGACAAGAGCGAAACAGAGTGGGTCAAAACTTGGTGTCCAATTGCCCAAGTTCAAATCCAGGCTCCACTACCTACATGCATATTTTGGGCAACTTACTTGAGTTATCTGAGCCTCCGTTCCCTGTTCGGCAGTAGAGAAAACAGTCACACCTCTAAGTGAAGCATAAAAAGATTCCATGAAAATCTGTTTACAGACTTGATCTTAACAATTTTCATCATCATCATCACTCATTATTAATTCACTGTAAGGTCAAGAATCTGTTTAAGAGGTTAACCAGAGATTATTATGACAAAAAGATGCAGATACAATTTAAGAATATATTTCTCAGTATTAAAGCCTTCTTTCTCTTCTTCCCTAGGAAACTGCTCAAAGAACTCATGCAAGTGGAACTTACAGCTTCCTTGATCTGGCTCAGCATTCAGTAAGTGCATCCACTTTTGAACATTTATTACATAAATGCACCCGTTTCTTTGATCGTCTTCTCTATGAAAAGCTGTCTTCAGCCAGCCTGTAGTTCCCACAGACACTTTCCTGCCTGCCTGTGTGTTTCTTTTCTACAGGACTGTATTGGATTCAGAGATGGGAGGAGGGTCTAATAGCAGAACCCCCACAATGAACATAGGAAAAATGAACATGTGAGAGTGTGGATGGGTTCACCTTCTCATTGTTGCCTGGGGATTAAATTAACTGTGTGTTTGTTTTCCTTTAGTCACCTAAGTTTTTCTTCATTAGGAGGCAATTTGTTCCCCTCTCCCAGTCATAGGACCATGCACAGTAGAAAAAAATGCAAAGAGGCCCAGACCACTTAGTGAGACCACGCATTTCTTGAGGTATTTTGAACAATTCATTTTGCTCTTTTTGAGCCAGAATATGTTACTGCTATATAAAAATTACTGCAAAAGAGAAATTCTTTACTTTAAAATGCTGGGGTACATTTTAGAAATTTCACTTGTTTTTAGCAAGTAAGCACTTTCAGCCATCTGCCTTTCTCATTGCACATAAGGGCTTCATTTTTGGTGAAGCCAGCAGTATTTTGTCCAATTTCCCCAACTCTTATTTTTTTATCATTTGTTAGCATTAGTGATGGTGGTGCACATAACCTTCACATAATCTCTGACATCAGCTCTCCCGATAATAGTTTTGTTGGCAAATAACTTGTTTTTATGAATAAATCAATGATAATTTAACAACTATCAAAATTCAAAAGGCTAACTAAAGGGAATATTTACTCTTTAAAGATGTAGCTTCCTTATAGGTTCCAGAATCTTATAATATATCCTGCTTCTGAGAATGGTGGAGTATAATTTGATATATCAAATACCATAAAGGGACAGGTAGAAACAGAGATTGTGGGACTCCAGGCCTAGAAGAGGCTGATCAAAGGAAATTCTCTGCCCTCACTGGTACTGCCTGACTCCGATCATTGCTATGGAATTTGCATATGTGAACAGAGAGAAGGAGGAGGAGAGGATAGAAAGAAATAAAAAATGGTGTTTGCCACATCAGAATGACTTAGTGTAACCCTGATCAGCTAAAGCTTGTATCACACAGGAGATTAGACCCACAGCTTTTGTTCCCAATAATAAAGGAAATTTTATGTCTAATTCCCTACATGCTACATCTCTCTTGTAATGCCTTTGAAGTTCAGGCTACCGCATTTCCTGAAAATTGCTAGATCTTATAAATAAAAAGGAGGGGGCTGTTTGGCATGCATTCTGTTCACATCTATTGGGTGTAACACTAAATATGCATGTTATTTTATCTTTTTTCTGTTTCAAGCACTATCCTAGCCACCTTTGTCATGCTGGGGCAGGGCAAGGATGGAGGAAGGAAGGTTTCAAGATTTTTGAATTTTGAGATTATGCATGACCCTCTCACCTTTGTCTCTACCTTCTTTCTCAATAGTACAAATTACTGCTTCTCAGAAAGGAATTCATGTTTCTACCCTGAATTGGGCCTGAAGTTTCTAACCTAGGGGAGGCTCTGGTCTCTGAGATAATTAGTACAATGTTGTAAGGAACTCATGTTAATTTGTCTTTCGATATAGTATTTCCATATCTACAATTGCAGTCTAAAGAGAAAAAAAATATTAATTTGCTGTTCCAAACCAGTGTGTAGATATCCCAGGATTTGAAAAAAATTAAAAAGGAAGAAATGGAAAAACTCCTCTTTGGGAATATTTAGAGCAGTTGCTCAGTTTTTGTGTGCTTAATAGATTTTGATGCTTTTCTTGTGGTCCAAGCTTCTCTGGCATAGTACACCTCAATCAACTTCCGGGTTGGCCCCAAGAGGTCAGTTTGCCCAGAACAAAGATGGGGTTTTAGAAGGTGGCTTGGTTATCAGAAAAACAGATGATCTAGCATATGTGTGGGCCATACGCTCGGGCCTTGTGCCCTTTTCAGCAATAACGTGTGGTACATCGCAGTAGGAAACTGTTCCAGTCATTTAGGCTACTTTACTGAAATCAGTGCATTTGCAGTTGGAATTAGCTCATATTTTTTCTTTACTGAGATCTTTATTTACTCTTTTTATTTCATTTAAGTATAGTTGGTATACAATATTAGATTGGCTATATTAGTTTTAGGTACAATATTGCGATTTAACATTTGTATGCCTTACGCTGTGATCACCCCACTAATTCTGGTAATCATCTGTCACTGTGAAAACTTATCACAATATTATTGACTATATTCCCCTTCTCCATTTTCACCCATCTAAGTCCTACATGACGATTAAAGTTCAGGACTTTCAAGGAGACTGGTACAGAGTAACATCAATGAAGAATATACTAGACCACCAACCTTCTCTAACAAGCATAGATAGATAATTTCAGATTTGGTCTAGAGTTATAGTTCTCAACTTGGTCATCTAAATATTCCCTTTTATTAATTTTTAACAAGTTTTAAATGTGCAATTACAGTTGCCATACAATGTTATATTAATTTCAGGTATATAACATAGTGATTACATAGTTAAATACCTTATGAAGTTATCAGTGGATAAATCTATTACTCTTCATACCTTGTTATTACAATATTATTGACTATATGAGGAGAAACCCCCCAAAACTGGAATTATCTTCTGGAGGGTAGGACCCTTGTAGTACATGTTTCTCCTGCTTGGTGGGTGTTCTAGGAGCCCATCTGTATCAGTGTAGTAGCTGGTATTATTGTAAGAGGCTGCATTTGGCTCCAGTGAATTTTATTTAGAAGACTATTTCGACTCATTTGCCCGTTTCATGATGGGCGATTTATGAATACATCAGCCCACACCATACTGTGTGTTCAGCATTTTTTGACAAAAAATGGTGAGACACCTCCAAACCCCACACTCCCTATTTACTGGATCTCATCCCAACTGACTTTTTTTGGTTTGTTTCCCTGGATGTAAAATGTCCTCAAAGAGAAACATTTTGCTGATGTGGAAGAGGTGAAACAAGAAAAATGGCAGGCAAAGAACTTATACCCATGACCCTATGGACATGAACAATGGTGGAGGGACTGCCTGAAGGAATGGAAGGTACTGGGTGTGGGCGGGCAACAGGGGTAAAATCAGGACAACTGTAATAATATAATCGCTAAAATATAATTTAAAAAATGGCAGAAGTACCAAAAGGCATCAAAATCAACAAGTTCAAAAACTGCTTTGAGCAGTGGAAAAATACATCCCAATAAGTGTATTGCATCAAATGGAGAGTACTTTGAAGGTGACTGAAGTTAAACCTGTAGAATAAAGACACAATATTTTATAAGTAAATTTTGTTTTCTGGGGGTCTCCATATTCCCTATGCTATAATTTACATCCCCATGACTATTTTATAACTATAACTTATATTTCTTTGTCTTTTTTTTGAAGATTTTATTTATCTCTTTTTAGAGAGAGGGGAAGGGAAGGAGAAAGAAAGGGAAATAAACATCAGTGTGTGGTTGTCTCTCATGCACACCACCCCCCACCTCATGGAGACCCAGCATGTGCCCTGCCTGGGAATCGAACCAGTGATCCTTTGGTTCAAAGGCTGGCACTCAATCCACTAAGCCACACCAGCCAGGGTTATATTTCTTTTTCTAACTTTAATCAGTCTTTTTTAAAAATTTTCAATTATAATTGACATATGGTACAATATTAGTTTCAGGTATACAGCACAGTGATTAGACATTAACCTACTAAGTGATCTCCCCAGTAAGTCTGATACCCATCTGATACCATACATAGTTACTGTAATATTATCAACTATATTCCCTACGCTGTATTTTATATCTGGGTGACTATTCTGTAACTACCAATTTTTACTTATTAATCCCTTTACCTTTTCATCCATATCTCCAAACCCCTCCCACTGGCAAACTTCAAAATGTTCTCTGTTTCTATGAGCCTGTTTCTGTTTTGCCGCTTATTTATTTTGTTTTTTAAGTTCCACATACAAGTGAAACCATATGGTATTTGCCTTCCTTTCTCTGACTTATTTCACTCAGCACAATACCCCTAGGTCCCTCCATGTTGTTTCAGATGGCAAGATTTTACCCTTTTTTATGGCTGAGTCATATTCTCAATATACACACATACTATATATATGGCATATATATGTATGTATATGCATATATATGTGTGTGTATATATATATACACACATCTATTAATTATCACTTAGGTTGCTTCCATATCTTGGCTATTGTAATTAATGATGCAATGAAAATACAGATGTATTTGTCTTTTCAATTTAGTGTTTTTGGTTTCTTTGGATAAAAACTTACAAGTAGAATTGCTGGGTCCGTTGTCCCTCATTGTATAGCCTTTGTTTAATAATCTGATTTGTCTGGTATAAGTATGGCCACCCCAAATTTTGTATTGTTTTATTTACATTTTCATGAAATATATTTTTTCCATCCCTTTCCTTTAGTCTGTGTATATCTTTCAAGCTGAAGTGAATTTCTTGTAGACAGCATACATAAGGGTCTTGTCTGGTTATCTATTCAGCCTCCATATGTCTTTTGATTGGAGCACTTAATTCATTTGCAACTAATTGTTGATAGAAATGTATTCGTTGTCATTTTATTATTCATATATTTTATCTTTTTAACATTTTGTGTAATACTAGTTTGGTGGTGATGAATTCCTTTAGCTCTTTTTAGTCTGGGAAACTCTTTATCTGCCTTTCAATTCTAAATGATAACTTTGCTGGTTGTAGGGCCTTGCTTTTCATGACTTTGAATATTTCTTGCTAATTGCTTCTGGCCTGAAATGTTTCCTTTGAGAAGTCAGCTAACTGCTTTTCTCTTGCGGCTTTTAAGATTCTGTCTTTGCCTTCAACCTTTGGCATTTTAATTATGATGAATCTTGGTGTGGGCCTTTTTGAGTTCATCTTGTTTGGGATACTCCATGCTTTCTGGACTTGTATGTTTATTTCTTTGACCAGGTTAGGGAA